CTGTCATTGTCATCTGGCTGGGGAATTCTGGGAGCTGAAGTCCACTCATCTTAAAGTGGCCAAGTTTGGACAACACTGCTCTAATGGAAGCACAGACCTCAAGTTGGGATGAACTATTTTAAAGGATTCCAACTTCTTTTTTGAGCAAATATATTGTTAGGAATTGATGATGATGATTGAAGATTTTCTTATAAGAACCTAGATTAGGGGTTTTTAGGTATTGGATTTTATAAACCGTTTTGCATCAGATTGGCTGCTTTTACAGAAAGGCAGTTAAAAGGTTTGTGTATAAAACAGGTGGATAGAAAATCAATACCAACATTGGAGGAAAAATGTTAAAGAACTGGACTTAATTTACAAAGTCAAAAGTCTTGTTGATTTTTAAGATGGCTTAGATTGCTAGTTAAAAAAAATTTTCTAGTTATATTCTCCCCCCTCCCCCACTCCATGTATAGCATCCAGAAGAGTGTAAAATAGAATAACCTTAAAAAGTGCCATCCATGAAGTGAAAAATCATAAATCAGCAACCCATTCAACATGATACAAAATAAAACAACCCAAAGCATCTCTGATAGTCACAGCAGCTGAAAATTGAAATAAATCTTTTAAGGGTATAATTTCAAGTCATTTTGATAAACAAAACCTTAATAGCTAATGAGACCAGAGGTGATTCCCTGGATAGATTTCATTTTCTTAATCCTAGGAATGGTCTACCCTTTCTTCAGTCAAAGTTCATACTGCACATGTTTCTTTGTCAAGGACTGTACCAAAATTAACTTGTTATCCAAGTTACTGTATGGCTTAGGTTAGTTTGGCAAGAGATTGTGAATTTTTTTGTGTTTGGGGAATTAAAAGTTATATATGGACAGCTGGCTTTAAACAAACAGAAATATTTGGCTTGAAGACAAAATTAGGGAATCAGTTTAGACAACAATTACCATTATCTTATCCCACAAATTAACAATATTTACATTTAGCTTTCCATCACAATTGCCTCGTAAATTGTTTTTTGTGTTGGAAAGCAGTCTAAATATATGGAAAATAGATTCAAATGATTGTACAAGTTCCTAGAGTGAGAAGGCACACCACCACCAAAGGGACCTTGTATTGCACAAGAAAGCAAAGCTAAACCCGAAGAAAGGTTAATAGATTTCGGCTCATAGAGTGGACCTTTTCATCTCTTCCTGTAGCTACCAGAGCACATCACAAATTGTAGAATAGAGGGCTGGTAGATGGTGTTTCATCAGTGGCTGAGCACAATTGGATTGCATCTACTCATCCTTATTACTTTCAGCTATATTTTCATATTATTATCCTGGGTCTTGTTTTCTAGTTTATCTTTCAGAATTGTTGACATAAAAAGTAAAGTCTCCTTGAATTGAGCTAGGTTCCTGGTGTCCATGTGGACACATCCATGGAATTTCCTCAGCAATATTATGGAAGTGGTTTGCTGTTGCTGCCTTCTGGGATTTATTCTTTTGACTTCTCAGTCTAAACTATGGCCCTGAGATTTCCTGGGGGGTCTCCCCTCCAAGAACTAATCAGGTCCAATCCTGCTTAGCTTTTCTGAGATCAGCCAAAGTCACTTTAGGACATTTTAATCCTGCGCAGCCTTATGTGAATTTACGCTCACTGAAATCTAGGAGATTAAGTGCATCAAACTCTGTGTTATGTTTTGGATACTCAGTTAAAAAAAACCTTATTTCCAAGAACAGAATTCTGTATAATTGGTTTTAAAGATTGATTGATAAAAAAGTGCAAAATTTGAAACATATATGCATGTTTTGCTAGATGCAGCTATGATACTCCTTGAAACAAAGAAACTTGAGCAAGTGTGAAATGCACTTGAACATTGAAATGCCACCTGCACATCTATTGTATCTGTGGGATTTCTTCAAAATGCTGTTGGCTTAAAAGCAATCACAAAGCCATGATTATAACTGTCCTTAATTAAATAAGGTATGCTCCAAGGAAGTCAAAGGAGACCATTTGTGAGTTGTCAGGCTCTTTGAGATGTGCCTAACCCAAAAGTAATTATTTTCTAAGAAAAATTCTCAGAAAGTCTCCTTAGCAAGATTTATTGAAAAGAAAGAGACAGGGCTAGAAGAATTCTGGCCATTGGACTATTTCCCATCTAAAAAAATCATTGACAGATATCACTGGATTCAACCACCAAAAGGAAATAATTTTCCTTGAAATAATAGAGCACTGTGCAAGTTGGATGTTTTTCTAATTAATAAAAATAGACCTGACTTATTTAACACTGATGGCCACAAAATTTCATTTTAGATCTTCAAACCAAACTATACTGCAAATGAAGATAATAAAGAGAACAAGGACAATTCATCTGAAAGGAGTAGAGCTGCTATTATTTTCTCCTTAAAGAATGAAGTTGGAGGACTTGTCAAAGCCCTAAAACTCTTTCAGGTAAGCTGTTTCTCTTACCTACAGTTGAAAAAAATAAATATATTGTGTGGGCATTGCCAATAGATAGGAGCAACCTTGAGAATGCCATAATGCGCTTTTCATCTTGCTTTGTTCCTTAAATATTCTAGCTGGTTATGTATCATTCTATATTGTAAACAGCCTGTTTAATGAAGAATGAGATACCAGAGTCTGATCTGTAGGGCTAGTCCACAAGAATTTCCTGAAAATTCGAGCAATGGAGATCAGAATAAAAATTGCTTTTGTTTCAATCCTCTTGGAAAAATGGTAAGGCAGAACAACTCTACCAAAGAGTTCCATGGACTCCCCATATGATGTTTCAGACCACCAGCTGATCACACAAAAAATTCTGAAAGCCTCTGCTGTAGAGCACAACAAAGACTATTGTGCCAGGAATCCAATCTGACTCAAGGATGTAAATCAAGGAATTCGCTTTTGCAGAAATGGTCCTAGGGGATTATTTTTTGTCACAGTTCAGTTTCCTGCATTTTCTACTATAATGTTCGATGGGAGCAGAATTGGCCTATTTAAATGGAAAACTCTGGGATGAATCACTTGAGCTGCTGGACATAATTTCTCCAGTGGACCTGTTTGAGCTGGTAAACACTGTTGATGACAGGTCCTGATCAGCTGTAAACATGGATGTCCATAGGCTTCTGCTGTTTTTGTTAAAATAATGAAAGCAGCACAGTGCCATAAAGTCTACTCTTCTGTGATGTCATGACATGGGTCCCACAGAGGCACAGCTTGCATCAGGATAGTGCAATGCTCCTTTCAATGGACAGACTGGTTTGACATCTCCCACCCCTACCCCATCGCTGCTGCTGGCTATAAAACAGTTCTCTTTTATGCAAATCAGTTGTAAAATTGTTTTCTTTTACATGGGTTACTACCTCTCCCCCGACTTCACTTCCACAAGGAACAGACTGGAAGTTCATTCTTTTAATTGGAAATAAAAAGTCCCTTGTTGCATAGTCCAAACTTAAAACTATGACTTTTTAAAGATATACAGTTAGTAAGTTCAAGCAGATTAAATCTATTTTGGATCATAGCTTGTCCAGAAATGAAAGTGGGTGTTTCCCTTCTCCAGGTCTGATCATGCTGAAGAGGGGAGGGAGGAGATGGAAAGGGTGCAAGGGTGCATTTGCAATGACTCAGTCACATAGTGGGAAATTATTTTTTTTTTAAAATTGCATATGAACTGGGAGGAATAGAAAATTGAACATGGATATGTTTAATATGAATAGTATTTACTATAAGTTTAAATTCATTATGCATTAATTCAAAGCATAAATTCATTTGTGTAAAGCTTGACTAAATACATGTTAAAGAAGGAGTTGAATTCCCCAGATTTTTGTTCTCAGATGCTATTCATGATCCAACCAAAATGGTCTTATTGTTCAGGAAAAACATGTGAATTTGGTGCACATTGAATCTCGAAAATCCAGAAGACGAAATTCAGAATTTGAGATCTTTATTGACTGTGATAGCAACAGGGAACAGCTAGATGAAGTCTTCCATCTCTTGAAATCCCATGTGAACTTTGTGACTGTGAACCCAATCAACAATTTTACCGTACAGGAAGATGGTAAGAAGAAGGAAAAGAAGAAAGTGATTTATTCAAATTGCATGCTTGTTATAAAGATGCCATGCTATTCCAAAGCTTATTGAACTGAATGTAAAAATACAGTTGATTTTGTCTCTTAGTTTTAAGTTTTCTCTGCTAAATGAGCATTCAACAAAAAACAGCTTTTCTGCAACTTGAAGCCACTTGTCAGTGTTCTGCATTCTGGGACAATGAAGAACAATTCTTTTACTAACAATTTGGTTAGTAAATGATTGTTTTGTTAAATTTGGGGTGATATATTTTTATTTAAAGCATTTCTGCCCTGCATTTCATTCCAAAAGATTTCCAGAGCATTTTAATATTGGTGTCTCTTTGCTTAGGCCCATGTTTAACTTCTGTGAGAATTGCAGTTATGATGCTAATTTAATGCATCTCCCCTCACTTTTAATATTGTTATTCTGTTTCATTTTAAGTACCACAGCAGGAAATGCTTAGTGCTGTGCATATATATGATAAGAAGAAGTTGACTTCCCTTTCTGTCATTTACTTCTTAACAGCTAGATTTCATTTTGGACTGTCATGAGCCTAGTTTCCTTTCCTCGAACAGCCTAATTTTTATTAATAACTGTATTTTTTCCATTCCCTAGATATGGAAAATATACCCTGGTTTCCTAAGAAGATCTCAGATTTGGATAAATGTGCAAACCGCGTTCTGATGTATGGATCAGACCTGGATGCAGACCATCCAGTGAGTAGATTTGTAATGCCCTTTGACTCCCCATATTTTGATTCTTTTCTAAAAAAAAGGTGCTTGAATCATTGGAAATCTAACTTCCAAGCTTGAATATTTTTTTCCTAATTTCCACTCCATTATCAGAGTTGTGCTACATATTAAATATACTAAAATATGTAGAATTTCTGTAAAGCTGAAACGCTGAAGATGTGTGAGATTCAGGGAAGACTTGGTGGAAAATACCCTTTTAGGCCCTAAAGAGTCAAACATGTTTATCTTTTTGATACCGTGCATAAGGTTTCATGTGCTTCCATTTCCTTGTGCTCATGCAAGTTCTAAAAAGTGCTTGCTTGGCGCAGGTTGAAATGTCTCAAAAGAGGAAGGAGAAAAATGCTGAATTGAGAGATAAATGCTATAAATGCATATGATTCCAGTCATACTCTGAGAAAGTCACACCACTCATGTGGCCGAAAGTTGGTGGCTCTGTTGGACGATGGAGCATGGACCATGCAAATGGTCCAGTTGCTTCCTCTTGGCAGATACCATTCATTTATTTTGAGTGGCATATATGCAGTGTGTTGGGATTTGGAGTCTATATAATATTGGACAGTTTGTCACTCCTTTAATTGCAGGAGTGTATGTAAATCAGTCTTCCCCACTCTGATGCTCTCCAGATGTATAGGACTACATCTCTCATCATATCCAGGCAGCATGATCAAAGGATGAGTAGCTATGGGGAGGTGGAGTTGTAGTCTTATATATCTAGAGGGCACCAGGTTGAAGACTGAGATAAATAACAGTAAAAAAAAAAAAAGAGAGAGAGAGAGAGAGAGAGAATAGATTATAGATTTCTGGTTTTCATATATTTACCTCATAAAATGTTCCCAAAAGTTCTTTCCCTGTCTCCTGTCCAGCTGCTTAATAGAACTAAGCCATTTTAATCTTAATAACTGGGAAATTATTGTTTGCTTTGGCACTAGGGTTTCAAAGACAACGTTTATCGCAAGAGACGGAAGTATTTTGCGGACCTGGCTATGAATTACAAACAGTATGTATCAGTGCTTACTAAATGCTACTGTTGATAATGACCTGATAGTAAGGTCTGAGAAATTTGGAGGGAAATAATGAAGACTATTAAAAAAAACTGAAAGAAGATAGAGCACTGAAGACATTTAGAAATACCTAGTGAAAGGACATTCTACAACACAGAAAGTACAGACAAGTTTCCTTGGTGTTCCAAAATCCTCACTAGATTTGAGCAAACCAAAATTAAGGGAACCTGTGAAATAAATTAATTGGACTTCTAGACATGACAGAAGTGCTTTTATTCCTATGGTGACTATATTTTCTTGAAACAAATAAAGGACCAACCTGAAAAAGGGGCAAATCTGAAAGAAGTTCATAAGGATAAAAAATGTTAATTGTTTATGTTTATGACTTTGCTTTACAAAGGAAAATTCAAGAGCAAAACCAAGAAAAATTTCACAAAAACACACATACTGTTTGATTTTAGATATTTTTATTAGAATATGTAAATTTATTTTTAAAAAACAGTTCAATTTCCATAGTTTTCACATGAATGTGAAAGACTGCATTAAGTGGTTCCATTTGTATGGTAAATAACCAAAATAAAGGACAAAAGTGAGTTTCTGAAAAATAAATAAATCTAAAGAACAGTTTTCTGAAACAAAGGACTGTCCTTTATAATAAAGGATGTATGGTCAATGTATTTATTTCTCATACTTGGCAGGTGGCTGTGACTCCTCACTTTGGTGTGGGTCACCATTCATGGAAAGGAGGTAATCCTCCAAAACTGACTGTCCATTGATCAGTTTTAATTCTTCCCCTTAACTAGTAGACTGCTTTGATGTGGAGGGAGGAGTAGTATTCACTATGGGAAGTGGGAAAGAACTCTCCCCAGGCATTCTATGAATAATTTGGGGTTGGGAATTGCAGTTACAGGTAGCTCTCACTTACTGACTGCAATTGTGACTGGCAACTCCATTGCTAAGCAATGCAGTCGTAAAGTGATTCATCACATGACCACACTGACTTATGATGTCAGTTCTGGCTGCAGTAAGTGAATCAACGTTGGGCTATTAAGTGCAATGTTGTGTGACCATGACTTACAACTTCTTGCCAGCTTCCCCATTGACTTGCTTGTTGGACGCTGGCTGTGAAGGTCACAAATGGCAATCACACGACTGTGGGGATGCTGTGATGGCTGCAAATTTGAGGACTGGTCATAAGTCTCCTTTTTCAGCACTGTTGTAACTTCAAACGGTTGCTGAACAAGCAGTTGGTAAGCGAGGACTACCTGTGCTCAACTTTGCTGTGTACATAAAATGCCTGAACAAGGCCAAGCTTTTACAGTTGAGATCCACCTCATGTGGACAATACTCCCACAAGAACTCCCCCCTACCCCCCACACCTGAACTGCATGTCACTGACAGCAAAGCAACAATGATAGGTAGTAAATTCTTAAATGTGCCATTTCTTCCATGCCTTTGCAAATTATTATCTTTTTGTTCCTGGGCCACTGCTATAAGAGGAATACATATTCATGTCTACTTGCCCTGCTTTGTTTTCTGGTTGGGGAGGCTGACATCCTGTCATGCCCCCTGCTTCCTACCCTGAGACTGCCAACTGCAGCAAATGATAGCAACACAGGGTCGTCTGCAGGGCATGGTTTAAAAAATCAAGATGGCAACCACAATAGTGTGATTGAAGTGACGCACCCCAGAGCAATGCCCAGAGCACTGGGTAGGTTCCACCCTGGTGAACCCAGTATGGTGGGCCTACGTGGTCTTGCACATTAGCCTTGTTGTGACTAATAATTTCTCCTCCTTTTCTGTGGCAGAGCATAGGGAGGAGGAAGCATATAGAAACATTGTTGGGGAGAAGTAAAACAAAGGGCACAAAGGAGGAAGGCAAGCAAGATTTGCTTTATTAATTACGCACAACTGTCTTTTAGAACAGTTGCTTTTGAAGCCTCTGGATGCTCTATGCTGTTTTGATGCACTTACCTTGTGAAAATTGAGTAACTTTGTGCTATCTCATCAAACTGTGTGATGAAATGTGTCTATGAAGAGGGACATGATGTGAGGGACTGCAATAGTGCAGCAGCTTCCCAGAAAGGAGGGAGCACATTCCAAGAAGGGAGTGAGACAAGAGACAGCACAGTCCAGAGCAGGAGCGTGGGAAAAGGAAGAGATTTAGAATAGCCACTTCCTAGACTCTCCCAGGGAATATCCATTAGGTTAGAGTAGTACAGATTTAGTCTAGCAAGATTCTGTCTATATGGTGTCAGCAATAAAGGAACTGAACTTGGCTGGACTGTCCCTGTTGTTCTTGGGCTGGGCCTGACAAACTGTAATGGTATGTGGGAATGACCTTGGGAGACAGAAGGAAGAGCCCCAGACTAGACAACAGTCAAATAAGAGACAGCTTAGAAGCAATGGAGGCATGGGAAACATCTCAGAAGGAACTGTCCTTAGTTTCTTGGACTGTAAAGGCGAGGGAGGCAAATCTTTCAGACTTGCAAGATTCTGTTAATGTAACCTTACAATAAAGTTAGACCTAGTACTTCCAGGTGTGCTTCTTGTCTTATCTCACAAGGCTGACAGACTGTTCTAATCACAAAAAATGATAGTGGTTATGTTCGTAATACATCATAAGCACATTTTGACTTAGTGCATTGTATAAATTCAGCTTCAGAGTTTTCTCTTAAACCTCTTGTCAGCCTCTGCCAAAGGTTATAATGCTTCTAGATAAGTCTTGATTCATTTCCTGCCTTTGCTAATTGATAAGATTGGGCATGGGGCATTTATAGCAGCTTCTTAAGGACACATTTGACTGAAAGAGGCTCTGACAGGTGCTACACCTGTTCCTGTGCACATTCTGATCCCCCTTTCCTCTTTGGATATAACTCAATGTCTAGCTGTAGTAATTTACACCAGATCTGTAAAAGCTCAACTTCCATTTTCCATTGGCTCATCCCAATTTACAACCAATGGGCAGTATGCAGAGTAATAGAAAAGATATTCATTATGCAAAAAGCCATTATTTTTCATATTGGACAAATGTTAACTAACTGAAAATTAACTTTTTAATTCTTTCTATAGTGGTGATCCAATTCCCAAAGTCAAATTCACTGAGGAGGAAATCAAGACTTGGGGTACAGTATTTCGGGAGCTCAATCAACTGTATCCAACCCATGCATGCAGAGAGTATCTGAAAAATCTGCCTTTGCTTTCAAAGTACTGTGGGTATCGAGAAGACAACATACCCCAGCTAGAGGATGTGTCCCGTTTTCTCAAAGGTAAGGGCAGATGTCTGTTCAGGGATGAGGTCCTGCTGAACAGAACTTCTATTATACAAGGGGAGCAGCAAGCTCTTTCTCCACTAAGGATCAATTTTATTTGGAGAGTAATATGTTGGTCTGCTTCAGCAACAGTTCTTCATGCCCTGATTATATTATGTTTAGACTACTTGTGTTTGTGGCTTGTGTTTGACGGTTTATATTTACTTTGACAAAGAAGTTCAAGCTGCAAAGGCAATGAGATGCTCCTTGTTGACACAAAGAGGTGATGCCCTTTGCCTTGGGAGTCTCCTTCAGTACCCACAAAAAAAAAAAAAAAAAAAAAGGAAGAGTCTTCTGGGCAGCCTGAGGCATTGCATCTGTAAGTGCTGGATAGACGGTGTTGAAGAACACAGATGTGGGAGGATCACCCACTGCTTTGGAAGCTGCATCAAGGGGATGTTTCTCTTGAGCTCAGCACCCTTGCAATCCAGCATACTGTAAGACATACAATAGTGGTGGTTAAAAGTTCTGCAGAGGATCGCAACATGCACTGGGTAAGAGGAATGCTGAAAAGAGTCTAGAATTCATTAATCAAAAGACAATAATTAGGATGATAACTGCTATGCGATGTCACTCCAGTATCAAATGGCATTGCTTGTCAGTTGCTTTCCAGGGTTAATTGTTATAACTCTAAACAGTTAGGACCCTCCTGTCTTGTTATGAACCTGTCTGGTGATAAATAACTGCAGCAGAAGTCCATTTGAGGATTCTATCCCATAGACAACACCATTTGATGTGTACAGTTGGAAGGGCTGTTTTCTGTATCAGTCCTAACCTGGGAAATCCACTTTCTGCTGTACTGTGTGACTGACCCCCTCTGTTTTGGAAAAGGTGTTTTTAACTGAGCTTTTAACTTCCTTTATGGAGAATTTTAACATTTTTATCAAAATGTGGGTATTTTTGGATAATTATTTATTTAGAGCAACATTTCTGTACAGCCCAAGGTCAAAATGATTCAAGGTGGTATATCACTGCTTTGATGTTTTGTCATATTATTAATTGTGCTTTTGCTTTTGGCACACCTCAATTTCTCCAGCTTCTTGCTCAGACATAAATTCCTTCAACCCAGTTGGGCCTTTTTACCAAATCTGTTACATTAGATTGCTATCACCACTTTCTCCTCTGTTCTGATATTTTGATGCCAAATTAATTTTCAACATTGCATTAAAAGATGTATAAAAACAAATTATGAACTATTCCTTGGTTTTGCAGAGCGCACTGGATTTACCATCCGCCCTGTTGCTGGATACCTATCGCCCAGGGATTTCTTGGCAGGCTTAGCATTCAGAGTATTTCACTGCACTCAGTATGTTCGGCACAGTTCAGATCCTCTTTACACACCAGAACCGTAAGTAGTGATAGTAACCCATGGACTCTGATTATATGTCAGCCCCTAAGGGGAGACCAGGTCAGGAAATAGACACCACAAAAAGTACTAGCATCTTGAAACCCTGACAGAATTTCTCTCTTCCTTCCTCTTATACCAAAGAGAATCAAGGTGGGACAATCTTGAGTTTCTTTCTCATGCTGTCCTTTTATCCCAGACTAAGCTCTTTACTAATGGTTGTCCCTTATTTTCTTCAAGGCTATCACTCTACATTATAATAAGCTTCTTCAAGTGTATCCAGTTTGGAACCTGAGGGTTGCAAATTATTATTATTTTATTATATTGCAAATCCATGTACTGGATTGTATCTAGCTATGTCCCTCCACTAAGACATCTACTACTGGGACAGATTTCTTCCTTTAGAGTTGTCTTGGGAGAGAGAAGACAGCAAAACTGGGAAGTTAGTTTTTTTTTAAAAAATATTATTATGCTAACTTTATTAATATGAGATGGTTTCTATCTAGCAATTGCAAAATACTAACCTTCAGGTTTCAGTATCACCTTGTTTCCCCTGTTTTCCAGGGATACTTGTCATGAGCTTTTGGGCCATGTTCCTCTTCTGGCTGAACCCAGTTTTGCTCAGTTCTCACAGGAAATTGGATTGGTATCACTTGGAGCCTCAGATGAAGCTGTTCAAAAACTGGCCACTGTAAGTAGAAAGTTCTGCTAAGTTTGTTTCTGATTATTCGTTACAAATTTGCCAGAATGGAAGATGGCTGCAATCCATGTTGCAAGCTGGAAAATATAAGTAAATCTGCCTTTTAAATTAACTATTTAATATAAATAGTACTGAAATGGTACTCTGACATTCCTTCAGGAGCTCAGCAGGGCATACATAATGCTCCCTCCTTCAATTTTATGCCCCACAAAAGTTGGAACTGTGAAATAAGTGGGACTGCAAGAAAGTGACTGACCCCAAGTCACTTGGTGAGTTTGTGTGGCAGAGGATGGTCCTGAACCTGGGTCATCTTGATCCTAGTCCAACACCTTAATTACTATACTACCATGGCTTTAATATCATCACATGAACTGGGAAATGTGGCAGCTGTAGCTGCATTCTTGGGTGACAGAAATTCCACTACTATTTCCCCCCAAATTGAACACTACATTTTCAAAGGTGATTGCAATCTAGAAACCCTATTCTCTTTGAAAAACAATGATGAGTGGCTTCCCTTTCCTGTATGGCTGAGGTAGATAAGATGCCTGCCATATGAAAAATTCTGAAGACATCTTCTATTTCTCATTCATGCAAGGGAACCTTGCAGTGTCACAGGTACAATAGCAGCAGGTACGGTGCTACTATTACACAGAGTGGTTTTCAAGATTTTGAGATTTTTGTAACTCTCAGATGGATCTTAAAATTACAATTAGTGGATGATGATATCAGTAAGAAATGAAAGTTGAAGTGATCCATCCCAATTGGAAAGGGAATGGTCTTCTCACTTTTGTTTGTCTCTGGGATTCATGCAGCTCTGAGGTCATCTGGCCATGGTGGCTGAGGTATTACTGTCATTGAAGGCTGGGCCCACAGTGCACGCGAGGCTAAAATATTATTGGCTAGAGTGCGGCCTAGTTAGTTATGCAAATCCAACCAATCTGGGTTAACCATTGTTCAGTTAACCATGAGATGTGCATGCAGCTGAGATATCTGGAAAAATTGGGGAAATGGCCTTTACTTTTCACCAAGGAAAGACAACAGGGAACACTCAGTGTTTATGCTTTATTCACTGCGTGCATCTCTATTAGAGAGCTGCTGTTTCTTCTCATGTTAACGTTCTTCCTTCTCAGTGCTACTTTTTCACAGTGGAGTTTGGCTTATGCAAACAAGAAGGGCAGCTGAGAGTCTATGGAGCTGGTTTGCTCTCTTCTATTAGTGAACTGAAGGTAAGGCCCCAAATCACCTTCAAAATACTGTCTGTAATTTAGTGTAATAGCTTTACACTGTAGAATTTTCTTTGTTCTGTTTGACTTCATTGTTCTACTGCTTGAAATGATAATGTAGCTTCAAATACATTAGACTTTCACCTGAACGGTTACTGATGGCCAGGGAAGAATAGGTGTGTCTTCAGAGAAATCTGTCATTGCTTATCTTCTCAGGGAGGGACATGTTATGGTGATTGATTGATTATGTGCCATCAAGTCACTGTCAACTCTTAGTGACCACAAATCTCATGAAATATAGCTAAGGATCACTGAATGCAATATTCACTGGTTCCAATGTTACTGTATGTGTTCTAGCATAATGTTTTATCCAGTAAAATGTTGCTTAGTTAGAATAAGATTGGCAGAAGGAAGCTTGACATTGACAAGAGTCTAGTGTATACAACAGTGTCATTCAACTGATAGAATGGCAGCTACTAGTCCAGAAATATACAACCTAAAGCCCCAGAGCAACATAAAGCCCTCAAAAGTTTTCATTGTGCCCATGGAAATTTCCAAAATGCGTTGCCAAAATACAAACTCGAATGTGACAGAAGGGGAGGAATTATGACTGAATATCTGTAGGATTAACTCTATTTAATTGTAATTACATGTAAATGAAATGAATTTTAGTTTTCATCTTAGCCCCATTCCCTACTTCTGAGTTACTCAAAGTCAAGGGTGACTCTTGGTTTGAAAGTTGCGCACTTTATATACCAAGATGTATTGTTAAGAGTTACAGTAATTAGCTAAAAATAAAAGCAAACAAAAAATCATTAAAAGTTAGAGTCCACTGGAATGTAATGCTGTGATTTTCAGTCACTAGCTATCTCTGTAGATTCTTCAGTACTGATGTCTCTAAAATATGCACATTTCAGTCTTTTCTATTTTGGTGTTTCTCATAACCAGCATGCACTCTCTGGAAGTGCCAGAGTCAAGCCTTTTGAACCTAGTGTCACCTGCAAGCAAGAATGCATGATTACTACTTTCCAGGAAGTTTACTTCATTTCTGAAAGCTTTGAAGATGCGAAAGAAAAAATGAGGTAATTTACTGATTGCCACTGGAAGGCTGAAAGGTAGCAGAGTGAAAGACGTCTAAATATAGCTCTAGTCCCACTCCTTGACCTTGGGGAAAAAAAATACCTATCTCACAAGGTTGGTGTTAGATTACCATAAGGGCCAATACTCAAAAGCACAATATAAATGCTATTTTTAATAAGTACATTGCCAGTGCTGTCTTGAAATTTGCCAGAGGCACCTTTCTATATATTGCTATTATCTATCCCAGTGACAAAGTCACACTCAGAAAATAATGCCAAATATTATATTTTAGATACTGTTACTTTGCTTTTTTCCAGTGTCTGCTCGTAGATGAGGGTAATTTGCGGTTTTACCATGGTTTATGGAATAAACTATGATAGCTGGGTTCACCAAAAGGGCTAAACTACAAGTCAAGCAAGCAAACAAAATTATGGCTTTTTATGCTGTGTGATCTCAGGTTATCTTCTGCTTCCTTTTAACTTTATTTCTCATTCTTATCTTTGTCTTTTTCTGGGTTAATTAACCTTCGTGCCTCTCTCTGCCGGAGTCCCACAAGCGGTCTTCATTCTTTAGTAATTTCTCTGGGTTTATCTTTGCCCAAGTTAAGACAAATTTATGGGATATTTCTCTCCTTCCTTGTCTCTTTCCTGGTACATTATTTCTGCACTGTCCACAATACAGTAGGAAAATGTTGACTACAGCTCCCACAAACCCTTGCCACTGGACCTACTGATTGGGGTTGAAAACATTTGGAGGGCACCAGTTTGTCTATTCCTGGTCCACAGTATCACATCTACCATAGTTTTTTTCTCTTTGATGATCTTCCTCTTCTCTCATCCAATAGATTAGAAAGAGTGCTAGGACAGTTATTGAGCTATATAAATGGTTATAACTGACTGAAACTGCCACTATGTAGGCAATTAATTCCCCTTTTTTCTTGTTTGAACAGAGAGTTTGCAAAGACAATCAAACGCCCATTTGGAGTGAGTTACAGTCCATATACCCAAAGTGTTCAGATCCTGAAAGATCCACGAAGTATTGCTCATGTGGTGAATGAGCTACGCCATGAACTGGACGTTGTCAGTGAGGCCCTTGGCAAGATGGACAAGCAGCTGGGAGTCTAATCTGTCTAACAGCCTTTCTGCATTCAGTAGCTGTGGATTCCCCCCCCCCCCCACATATTACTGCTTATGTGCTTTATGCAGAATGCTTCTTCCCAAAATGATCAATGAAAGGGAAATATTTTTGTTTTAATATAGTTTCCTGAAAGCCTTCATATCAATGTTTACATACCATCCTCCCCTCCTCTTTTCAGGTCCTTCCTCAATGATTTGAAAAGAAAGTAGAAATAATTTATCTAGAAAAATTGATAGAAGATATTAGGGAAAGCTACATTTAAAGGCTAATGGTCCATATAGTCCACTGTTCTATGTAACCAATGTTGGCTAGTATTAGCTGCTATGGAAGGAGCAATAAAATCTTAAAGCTATTTCAAGAAGGCTGTATTTTGGTTTATCTCCCAACACGTTTTTTTTTAGTTACAGAACCACAGCTATAATCATATACATACTTACCTAGCAGGAAAATCAACTGAATACAATTGGACTTGTTTCTGAAGAAGCATAGCATGTTCCATTTCACCTATTACATTTCTCTTCTATATGAATAATATGAAATAGAATACAGAACTTATAATTTGGGAAATTGTGACTGAATTTGTACATCATACTAAGCCATGGTTTACTTAAACATGATTTGCTGAACCAGCCACAATTGGCTGAATTTACATATCATGCTAATCCATAAATCTGGCTCTCCCATCATGGTACCAGGGGTGCCAGGGTGCCAAAGAACCACTTCCATTGGGCACGCCAGGGTCCATGCTTGACCTGACTTTTTGTTTTATGATTCAACAAGCCATTATGCCAACTATTTTGTGAATGGACAAGCCCTGCTTCCCCATTGCAGCTCTGGTGCCCACAGCATGCTCCCAAATGTTAAATGTGCCTGCAAGTCAAAAAATTGGGATTACTGCACAGTTTACAAACCACAGTAACTTGGTTCACACAATACCTGAAACAAAAATCAAAGAAATCACACAATGATTTAGTGAAAGCTATGAAATCAGTAGGGATATGTGTTGACTCATCCCATTATATCTTTATTTGGTTATCAAATTTAGTTGCAGATATAAGGGATGAAAGCTGATGCCTACTGGATATATTTATGCTACTGGGCAAAAATGTGATAGTATAGATGTTTCTTATCTGGCAAATGTAATCTTTGGTGGGGGGGGGCTTCATACACATATTTATTTTCATCACTTATAGATAAATTAGCCATGCAGAACTGCAATATCTTCTGATACCATTTGGTTACACCTCTATAACATGCCATGCCAAAAAGCCTAATTGATCAGTGCAAGTTGCAATTTTTAAATCAGATCAAGTTTACTGTGTCATCCAAACCTGGAATGGTCCATTTTGGCTTGACAGAAACTAGAATTTGTAATAAAAGTTTTTTGTAAGTGATATTACACTTTCATAAACCCATATTACTAGTGCAGAAGACATGGCAAATTCTGATGAAAGAGCCAAGCAACAGAGAGTGTGTGCATATAAAATAGCACTTTTTTGGCATAGTGTTTTTAGCAAATACATCTCATATTTGGTCATGGAAACAATTCACACATTTGTTGGCTGCTACCAGATTTTGCATAATCTATATACTTCTAAAACTCTCATTGTGTTTATCTATTTGTCTGTTTGTATCCTCAAGTTAGCCCAAATGGTGCATTATACTGCAACAATGTTTGAATCAAGGTACCTAAAATCTGCTAACTTAAAGAATGCATAAAATGTCTAGGACACATTACTCCTGTGGAATTGAAATTTCCACAATGTTCAGACCAGTTTTATTTGCAAAGTTGTGGCCATTGTAGCAATTCACACATTTGTTGGCTGCTACCAGATTTTGCATAATCTATATACTTCTGAAACTCTCATTGTGTTTATCTATTTGTCTGTTTGTATCCTCAAGTTAGCCCAAATGGTGCATTATATTGCAACAATGTTTGAATCAAGGTACCTAAAATCTGCTAACTTAAAGAATGCATAAAATGTCTAGGACACATTACTCCTGTGGAATTGAAATTTCCACAATGTTCAGACCAGTTTTATTTGCAAAGTTGTGGCCATTGTAGCATCCCCGCGGTCATGTGATCATGATTTCTGATGCTCCCTGTCAGCTTCCCACAAGCAAAGTCAGTGGGGAAGCCAGTAGGAAGTTGGAAGTTGCTCCTGTTCCCACTGCTTTTTTGCCCGCCTGTGGTCATTCTGTTTATCTGTTTAGGTAAGTAAATATTGATTTATTATTGAAGTTCATTTGCCACTACAATTCTTCTTCTATTTATGATATATACTTTTCTTAGATGATCATGGAACCATCCAGCAATATGGTCATATAAATTTAATATATGACATTTAATGTTCATTCTGGTCACATCAAACTGCATTACCTTTCTCTTAAAGGATGACCTGACGGGTCTCAGGATTGTCTAGTATTAACTATATATCGCTATGAGTCAGCCTTTAGGGGCATTGAGAGCCACCATAGTATAGTAGTTAAGGTGTTGGAACAGAAGTGACGAGATCCAGATTCTAGTATCCTCTTAGGCATGGAAGCTAGCTGGGTGACCTTGGGCCAGTCACTCTCTATCATCCTTAATAAATATCAAGCTCTGTGACAGCCCATCTGCTAAACAAAAACCCTTTGTTGCATTATGCACTAATAGGTTTGCAGCAAGAATTAGGTGAGTGCAGTGGAAAAACAAGCAGATCCTGGAATTATTCAGGACAGATGAGAAGGAGCAGCAGCAGCAGCAGCAGCAGCAGCAGCAGCAGCAGCAGCAGCAGCAGCAGCAG